ATTACTAAGAACATGGTGTTGTAGGCGAAGAATTGTCATAAAACTCTATATATCATGACAGAGGTTGTGACCGTGGATGTGACTATTCTTTATGACACTACCCACATCCATCCCCAGAGAATAATAAACATAAATGTTAACACTTGTTCCATAAATATCGAGAAAATGATAAAAAATATAGAGAATTTTTAAATAACCTCGCATATGTCCCTGAGTGATATAGTGCGAGTTCTAGAGTGAAAAATCTTAATTTTCTACATCTTTTTGTTTTTTTTTTGGTTATTTTCTGTATATTTTTAGTCGAAATGTCACTATATATGACGACCTAACTCTACATTTAGACTCATTATTCTCTCTGCGTGTGAATAGAGCCATAGAAAATTATCGCACCAGCCCATCCACACCCACAACCTCTGTTATGATATATAGAGTTTTATGACAATGTGTTACCTACAATACCATGTTCTTAATAGTAGGATCATAAATGTCGAGGGAATCTCAAAAATGATGAATTATTTCTCATTGGTCATTTCTGAAATAAATAGTTATAGATTGAATTTCTATCAATCATTAGATAAGTTGCTTCAACTCTTAAATAAATATATATCTATTGTTTATAATTTCAACAAAATAATCAAATTAAATATTATTTTTCAGTCTTGTGTTATATTTGTGAGTATTTTTACAATTCCATAAAAATCTAAAAGTTTTTTTTTCGCCTAAATTTCATCAGTAATTTTTAAACATCATTCTGTATAGTTATGAACATAACATTTTTAATTGCCATAGTTATAATTCCATGAAAGTATTTTTATCTATGCCATGTTCTCATCTCAGCATGTAATTATTAAGAGATATGACATACGTGATTCTGTCAGAACTTTTTCATCATAATTAGTTATATCGATTTACTTCGCTTCGTCTTATATATATATATATTATAAAATAAGATCTTTTTTTTCTTTTGATTATTTCCACTACATGTCCAATTGATGCTAGTTATTATCACTGAATAAAGTAAAACAAATATAATATACATTTAAAAATAGAAAACTCAATTAAATATATGATACTTAAAATTGTCTCAAGTATTAATTGTTTACAAAGATCGTGACAATATTCGTATAATTAAATGGTAATATAACCATAGAATAAATATAACATGCTTCTTTAGTTTTCAAGTTCTTTCTTTCAAATTATTGACCGTTTTAATTTTCGTGCATAAGTTATTAACAAAAGTATCTTCAAAAATTAATTAATGAACTCTTGTTTGTTTAAGATTAGAAATTTACATTTCGTTTAGAAGTTTACTTAATCTTTGCAATGTTCTTACTATTATGTTCTTTTGCTTTCTTTATACAAATATATTATTTAATATTTTATTAAAAATTTACTAGGTCTTTATGATCTTGAAGAATTCTATAAAATTATTTATTCTACTCTAGTTACATATTTCTTTTTTGTTCTTAATTAAATTTATGATGAATACATTTACTGTGAAAGAAGTCTTTTCTTTCTTAAGTCAGATGATAAAATAAATTCTTCTTTTTTTTTGTGTATTAGTTTCAGGTACATTTCAATTTTGTTTATATTATTCATTTTGTTAATTATCATAAGTTTGTTGTTCTATATATATATAAATACCATCCATTAATTAGCATCTTAGTTCTTTTTAATAAACATAATGGCAACTTTTTTTTTTATAATATTTTACAATATCATTCGAATTTTGGACAAAAAAAAGAACAAAGAATTGAGTTCTAAACATACAAAATGAAAAAATTTTTAATTCAAAGCACTAATCTTGTCATCATAATCTTGACAAAAGAAAAAGAATGTCAACCTGTACAGACATTTAATTAAATATTGTCATTTAATTTTCATTATTTCAATTCATGTAATATCTCATCATGATCACATTTAACTATGGAACGTATTTCGTTTTGTTCTTTTGAGAGATTATCAATAAAATCGAGGGACTCTTGAAGAATATGGTTTGTTGAATATTTCATTCCAATCATATTATTTTTATTGAGTATTGTTTGTTTTTCGTTGTTTTCAATTTTTTCTCCTAATTTTGTAAAATTTCGTTGTAGATTATTCATTTCAGTATTATTGTAAGTAGTATTACTATAAGTATCCATATTTCTATTATATAATCTATTTGACTTAGGAAAAAAATTTTCAATAATTAATTGTTGAAATTTTCGACGAAATGATTTTGAAAGTAATATAAAAAAAATAAAATTCGTACCATAATGCATATTACGTATTGTACGAAGTACATGATCAATATAATGCATTTTTAATAAATAAATTGAAGAATTTAATTTTTCGGGATGCATACGTTTTATATAAACATTATAAGACCAAAATAATCGATAAGGTAATGTTAATATTAAATAAGTTAATGCAACACTAACAAGCATAATTGTAATTGTTCGATCTCGTGAATAATGTCTTCTTTGTCCAGTACTTTTAGATGTTGTAATAATTTGTGAAGGTTCTAATTTAACTGTATGAATTGGTAGATCAGTTAATGTTGCTTGATCTTTATAAGTTCTTACTAATGGTGATTGAGAGGAAGATTTTGTTATCTCATCTTGTGTATCTTGAGTTTGTTCATTTTGTTTATATGATGAACTACTATATCTATACAAGATACGTTTTCGTAAATAATGTAATGGTATTCGTGTTTTTTTAATTGATATTGGAGATTGTGTTGTATTTGTTGATATACTCATAAGATTTTGTCGTTGTCTTAATGTTATTATAATCATTATATTCATTACAGCAACAAATGTTAAAGGTAATACATGTAAAAAACAAGATAATATTATTCCAATAATATCATAAGCATATTCATGTTTTTCATTATAATAACAACGTTTCCAAATAACAGCATATTTACGATTGGTCTTTTGTTTTAAATCAAAATCATGTCGATTTGTTAATATAATTGGTCGAAGCTCATGCATAAATATTGGATAAAGACAACATAATATACCTACTAATGTAATAATTGCAATACTACGAAATGCTTGTAAATGTTGACGATGTTTTATATGACGTGTTAAACAATAACAACAATTAAGAGAAGACCAAATTGATGATCTTCGTAGTGGTGATGATGATGATGATGATAATGAAGAAAAAGATGATTTAGGTGGATACTTTTTCTGTCCACGATTATTTTCATTAATATTATTTTTCATAGGTCCAGATGATATTTTCGATAGATGAGATGGCATATGAAAAAAATAGGATAATGGACGACACACTGAATACCAGCGATTGAATGATATAGCGCACATATACCAAGCACTGAGTGCAGCAAATAATTGATCAGGGCACATCAAAGCTTTACTATAAGATAAAAAGAAAAACACATAATCACGATAACAATTTTCTAAAAAAAAAGGAAAAAGAAAACTAAAACAAACCATAAAAAATTTGATTTATCTCGAAAATAACCACGTTCAGGTGTTCGATTAAAACAATTATCAAGCCAAAATATGAATACTGGTATTAATAAATTAAGTGTATCTGATATATTGAGCATGACTGTGTAAAATGATACAGGTAATTTAACAATATTACAATTTATTAATATATATATAGTAAGAAGATTACCAATGGCACCAAATAAAATCTAGAATATATTTTTTACTTGAAATAGTTTGAAGAAATTTTAAAAAATTCTTTTTTCTTTACCAAAATTGGATTTAAAATGAGAACAAACCAAAGAGATATTATTGAAAGAAGACGATAAGAATTTGCGTCATTGTATGATGAAGATAATGATGATCCACTAGATAATGACGATGGAAATAATATTTCGGATAAAGAAGACGATAAACTTGAACTTGATATATTATATGTTGTCTGATTATCAGATATTTTAGAAAGTAATTGTTGAAACATAGTTGATAAATGCTGTAAACCACCGGAATAACTCATATTGTTATTCATATTATTTTCCATATTATCATAAAGATAATCGTAAGTTGAAAATAAACTTCCATTATTCCTTTGTACTTTATTGGCAAAATTTAAAACAACACTATTGACTAATTCCGTATTGTATTCCGGAATATTCATTTTTATTCTGTAAAATATTTATTTAAATAATCAAATCTACAAATTAACAGATTAGTTTATATCAAATATATTACTTTAAATTCTTTAAATCTACTTTTCTTGAATACTAAATAGAAACTTTTATTTTTTTTTGTGTTTATTTTTCTCTTAATATATATTACGGCAGAAAATAATTGAAAAACTAGTAAATGTATCGATTGGTTGATCCCACATAAACATATCGTATCATACATCTAGGAAATCTTTTGATGAAAAAAATAGGACGCAATATAGAGAAGTTTATCTGATTTCCGTTTCTTTTATCAATATAATAAATTATCAGCTAGTTAAAAGAATTTAAAACAAACTCAATCAAAATATACAATCCAACAATTAAATTATATTACCTATATCAATATTGAACTGGTATGACAACATAAATATATATAATCACTTTAATTAACATCATCAAAAGTCATTACAGCGACTATTAAATAACGGGAAAATGATGGTCTATGTGACGGAAGAAAAGTGTCCTTTCCATGGAAATAAAAAGACAAAAATAACGAAGAAACTAAAAGCAGCAAGGGTTAAAAATACGAATTGCGTGTTTCTTTAGTAAAATTATGTTCTGTGCATCACGCTTTTAACAGCACAGAAATCGATGGGACTATAGAGGATAATCTACTATTAATTTATTCATCCACATGCATATGAATTTCCTTCAAAGAAGTAGAACAAAATAACAAAAAGAAACATGATATAAATAAATATTTGATATTACAACAACGAACATTACACAATGTATACAATGAAGAAAAATAAAACTATTGTTAACTGATAGACGCATGATGAGTGAAAGAGTTATTCGCGTGAAAAAATTTTTTAATCTCTAAATACTATTCGAGTGATTAGTTGACATGCACCTTTTCCAAACTATTCTTGCAAAGAATAATTATCTCTTCATTTACTCATAGTAAGTAAGCAAAGTATTCTAGGTTTTCTTCTTTAGTTTTTTATTAATGTCTTTTTTTTTTCTATTTTCTTATTCTCACAATTTCAAGTTCTGTTAGTATTGTCTATTTTGACATATGGTGAATAGAGGAAAAAAAGAAATTAGTATAAAATACCGTATTACTTGCTGACAAAAAATAAACAATAATTTTTTTTGCTTTTTATATGTCAGATTAAAATTATTTCAGATTAATAATATGTTTGAAATACTATTGAACAATAGACAAAAATATATGTTTATTTTGGATAACAAAAATATCAGAAAGTAAATTTTATCTTACCGTTATTTTTCTTTAAATCACTCAACGTATATTGATTTATTTTGGGTTTTAAACTCAAATCTAACTAAGTATATTAAGGTTGATATACAAAACTAGTAAATACATTTTGTGATATCATAAATTATGTCAAAATATTTTTTCCTTTATTATTTTTCTTTGATGTATAATTTATGTGCTGAAAAATCTGAAAAAAACTCAATTCTTGTGATATTATAGAATACTTAGAAAGACATGTAAATAAATGGTGGAAGAGAGATATATTAAAAACTGAGTTATTCATTATGTTCTTTCTTAATATACAATTCCGTTGTATGTTTTTCCTCTCTTTCTTTCGAATTTCCGGACGTAAATGACATTGTCAAAAGAACAAAATCAGTTTTCTGAATATGTGCACTCGGAATATTCGAGAATAAAACATAAGAAAAGAAGGTTTTGCCCATCTTATCTTATTGTCGTTCCATTGAAGTTAACTTAGTTTGCGTGCGTTCTTTTTTTTGCTCGGAGATTCTATGTTTGCATGCATGATGAGTTCTTCAAATTGTTGTTTCAATGTATTGTATTACTTGGCACCTTTTTATAATTTAGTCTTTTTTATGATAAAGACAAACAAAAGCAACCAATAGATTATATCAAAAAAATAAATCAAAATTGGATCAACATGAAGAAAAAAA